ACTAAAATGGGGGAAAAGCATATAGTGCTGCTATTTTATTTCTATGAATACCAAACCAAAACAAGTGCTAAAATAAGGTAATTCTGGATTCTCAATTTTAGATATTTATGATCTCCTACACTAGTCATCCTATCTAGCCTTATTGCTTTAGTTTCCCAGGTACCATGAGATACAGGCTTCATACAAAGGTTGAAGGGAGGTGTATAATATAAAGCTATGTTGGCTTTTTGTTTGTTTGTTGTAGTTTATTTTCATCTATAGAAAACAATGGTATGAACAAATGTGTCAAATGCATTTGAAACTCATGTCCTTTCCCTTGCCTCATCCAGTTTGGCCTATTTTTTTTTTTCATTTCCAATTGCTCTGAGATTCTATGAACCTAAGCATTATTCATTCTATAACATAAATTGCATAATTGAATGATCAGAGCCCATCCCTTGCTGAATAATTAATAAACAAGGTTAAGTGGAAATTTTCATTTGGTGTATACTTTGTAGAAAATAGACGAAAGACCTGGATTTCATGAAGGCTGCCTAGATAACAGGAGAACATGAAATGAGAAGGCAAGGGGGAGGTAGGAAAGGGTGTTGGTAAGATATTAAGGATGAAATAATAGCCTGCTATGGATTTATAATAGGAACAGTCTAAGAACTTGTAAATTGGTGCTGGTCTTTCTACATCAGTGGTTCTCAATCTATGGGTTCTGTCCTGTTGGAGTCAAATGACCTGTTCACAGAGGTTACCTAAGACAATTAGAAAGCACAGATTATTTACATTACAATTCATAACAAGTAACCATTCTAAAGTAGCAATGACAATTATTTTATGGTTGGGGTGCTCACTTCAACATGTATTAAAGTGTTGCAGCATTAGGAAGTTGAGAACCATTGTTTAAATAGTCTGGCATTTCTCCTGCATTCTGTCATCTCTTCAGCTAATCTTCCCATTCCTCAGAAGACGAGATGGAGGAATGGGAGGGGACAGGCCCTCAGCTCAGCTATATGGTTAACTGTAGTATCCATAGAATTTTCTTACTCTGTGGTAATTTATACGACAGCTGTACTTACTACCCTAGAGCTGCTGTCCCACAATGCTCACAGGAAATGACATGTGAGGACAAAGTAGCTTTCTATAAGTCTGGAAGAAGGCTCTCTCTAATAACTGAAGTCTCCTATAACCTGGATCATGAGATTTCTAGCTCCCAAAGCTATAAATAAAGTTTCTTAAGCAATCCAGCCTGTGATAATTATTATAGCAGCCCATGCTGACTGATTCAGGATCTAATGTTATTGGACATATTTTGTATTAATGAAAACTGTAATTTATATGGCTTATAAAGGTAACACACAGCTTCATTTCATTGAAAAGATAGAAAGAAGGCATCATCATTTTTGTTTTACTTAAGCTTCCTAGATCCTGGAGTTCAGATGTATGGTATAAGGATCATAATTGGATTTTTGAGCTAAGTTGCTGATGAGACCAAGGATACTTGACAATTGTCATTTGGTGGTATAAGAAACAAACTGAAGATACAAGGCTTTTCTCTTTTTCTTTTTATCTATCATTAAAATAAATAATCTTGTTGAATGCCCGTAGCAAATATGTAAGATTTATGTTACTGTGTTAATGTTGTTACCTGTAAGCTTCATTCTGAACAAGATAAGTGAGAGCTCACCATGGACTGCTTTTTTTTTTTTTTTAAACTTCCCATTTTATGTTGTTGCAGAGAGGTAGGCTTTGAGCTGCACTGCTGTTAAGTAAACACATCTTTTTCATTGTCTTGTGTAATTGTATTCTAGTCCTACAAACACATTTTTAATGTGTTGTGGCTTAAATCAATAGACCATCTCAGAAGAGGGCTTTGGAAGTGGCATGAAACTGGGAGAACCCTGTGCAGATTTATATTGCTCTTTGTACCGTTATTGTTCCATAACAGCTCCATTTCTGAGAGCCACTTTTGATCTGACAGTGCTGGCTGCCAGTTGGCAGAGAGGATTCACCTAGATTAGGTGGTTGTTTCCTGTTTCTATGTACAGGCTTGGGGAAATGGGGTTTACTTTCCTCCAAATGCTTCTCAGAACATACTGGTACAAAATGTTCAGAAGTAGGATAATTCCTTTAAAAGCTACATCTGGTTACCCTCAGATAAATATTTCCATTAATATCTCAACTCATTTTGATCCTTCTTGGAGTTAGTAGTATTTTTTTTTTCAACGTATGTAGGTGGCCTTAAACCATATGGCAAAAGCATTTTCCAAAAGCATTCAATCTTTGCGTTACTATGAACTATTTTCCTTTTTTCCATGTCATTGAATAGCTCCTCTCAGCAGCCTCAAAGCCCCCTTCTCCCCTTGATCTGATTCTGCTTATGCTGATGGCTTCACTTTTGTACTTTGGCAAACCCATACATGTTTTAATAACATATTTAAGAATGAAATCACCTATTCCTTTCCTCTGTTTGGAGTGAAAATATGTTGTTGCTATTTTTAGATAATATGCATTGAATGTTCCTGCAGCCATTGCCCTGTACAGAGTCATTATTATGCACACGATGCTATCTTTGGAGCTCAGTGGTTTGTTGTGTATTAATCTACTTTAAAATGCTCAACTGCCTAGATTTTTTTCCCTATTAAATGATGCTTTTTAGACACTTTATTTTTTAAGTCTGTGAACACTTTTACACTTTTTTTTAAAGATAAAAGATATTGGATGTGCATTTGTAAGTGGCATTTCCAGAAAAACTTTATACTGTCTACTAAAAGTCTGAGTTCTTACATCTTCAAACGTCTGTCTTAGTAGGGCTGTCATTTCCTCTTGTTCTTGACAGCTGCTTTATTGCAATCTTAACTTACATAGTGGATATTGCTTGACGCAGGAAAGAAAATAGGAAATAACATAGATAATTTTGCATCATCTACTTTACCTTTTATGAGGACTCTTAAGAACACATAATCAGTAATGTCAAAAACCCCAAAGAATGTGAAATCTGAAAGAGACCACAGCAAGGTATAAAGGCTTTTGTCAGACTACTCATTCCCTGTGCAGCTTTTTATATCTCCATGCCCTGGGTTATTGTGAAATGCCTTTGCTTCCCAGGCTGCCTTGCAAAAATGCAATCCTGTAGCACCCTTAGCCATATATTAACAGTTCTCCCAAAGAATGAGCATAGCATTATAAACAACGACATGTAATTTCCCCTGCCATGTTCTTGAATCCTTCCAACATATTTTATCATTCAGTATAGTATTCAGTATGTGCAGTTCTTCTATTTATCCTATATATTTTGAGTATTTACTGGAGAAGATATTACATTATTATAAGAATGGCATATTATATATTCTAGTTAGCTAAATGAAGGTTGAAGGTATAGCACTTTTGAATGGCTTTCATTTCATGTGTTTTGGTGAGAAATGAATTTACTCCCATATTTTAGGTTCCTTAAGTCACTGGGGATGAGAATACAATGTTGGTCTGTTATTGAAAAGTCATCAAGGTTTTGGATACATGGCATTATATACATTACAGGATGACTCACTTCAGTCTGAAGCTGTCAAAGCTGTCAGAGGACCTGTCTCATGTTGGGATATTGTCTAGTCAGTGTGATGAGAAAGGATTGATGATTTTGCTATCCATAGGAATGGTTGTAGATGTTGGCTGCACTAAGCTGGAAAACGGAAAAATAAAGAAGTTACATCTTTCTCAAAGAATGCTTAAATCTTTTGATACTGGTATTTCTCTGAGTAGTGAAAAGAAATTGTGATTCCCGTCTAATTTTTGTCTTCTTATGAACTGCTAATCAAGAGCATTTAGAGAAAATTTTTCAAATGGATAATTATAATCTTGTTGTTTATATTTCACACATAAAAGCTGCAAAGCAGAAAAGTTGGCCTGTCCTTTTTGTTTTTACTTTAATACCTTTAGTGTAGGTCATCTGGTGCCTGAATGTCTTCTTTGCCTTGATATTGTAGTCATATTTTGAACATTGAATTTATGGAAGAAGGAGACTTTTCATAGTCCTCCCTGGTTTATCTGCAGGGTTTGTTTGGGGCCCAGTCTACCACTGTACCTATCTGTCAGAACTTGCCATAATTAAAACAGTTGAGGTGGAGGATTAAACTGCTTTAAGGGACTATCTTGTTTCCCAAGAGCATTTTAAAGATAGAATGTTCTGTAGCTCACTATTGAATAATGAGAAATAGATATAATATAGTATAGCTCCATAAATTTAAATATTTCAGAAGCAGAAATGATGTTATACCACTATTATTGTGAATATTCAAAATAATACAGACAACCTTACTTGCAGTGTATTTTTATTTTTATTGAATGTCCTAAAGTATATAGATGATATCAAGTTATTTGTAAGTTTTCAGACTTAGTCATTAACTTAATTGTTGAAGGGTGTGTGCTACTTGGTGTTTGCAGCCACACTTCACCTATCTCAACCATCCTGATTTTACTAGGGCAACCCGAAGATTATCATGTCTGATGAAATGTTTTCCTATCCCTATAGCTTCATGTATGGCATTTTGGGCATGGTTTATTTATAATGCTATTTTCATCTGCCTTGTATTAGTTAGTTGTGACTGTGTCTGCCTCAGCGCTGCCTTCCTATAAACCAATGACTGCTTTTTAATCTTTCATAGCCCCTGTATTTCCAGAAAAGGTGCTGCTTGTTAAGGTTGTTGATTACCTGTTTCCAGTTTTCTAAATCAGACTTACAAATCAGTCAGTGATCCTAGGATTAAACAGGGAATCCTGCAGACGTCGGTGACAAGTTAAAGTTCTGTGTTCAACATTACCAAGTTTGAGTATTTATTTTACTATGTTTGGTCTGTAAGTAGGAAATTAATATCTGTTAAGGAATTAAACTTTGAGCCCTTTGAAGACTTGTCTTTGGTCTTTATATTTCAGTCACCTAACCTAGGATATGGTTAATGCTCAATAAACACTGGCTTGGTTGAGTTGACTGATTTACCCTATTTTCTGTTCTATTACAGCCCACTGTTTGTAACATGGAAGATTGGTCGAGACAGAAGATTGCGTGGATGCATAGGTACTTTTTCTGCCATGAATTTGCATTCAGGACTCAGGGAGTACACACTTACCAGGTGAAGACCAATTTTTGTTTCATTTACATCTATGTATTTAAAAAACTCTTGTAATACTTGAACTTAATACTTTAATTCCTTTTCATTTACTAAATTATTGATGTTCCTCTTTCCTGTCTTGTTAGGTTTTTCCATTTTGGTATCCAATTAACTGCACTTATAAAGTATTATTAATATGCATTATTATACAAGATACTGTGGTGACATATATCTTGCCATAGATTTTTAAACCGATCTTTTTTTTTTTTTTCCTACAGTAGGCAGTTTATTTTGTGTAGCTTGGAAATAAATGACTAAATGTCCATGAGTTACCGAAAGTGTTATTTCTATCTTAACAGCCTTTATTGGTTCCCCTTTAGACCTTTTAGAAAGAGTTGTTTTTCTCTTCATTTTATACATTTTGCTATACTTTTATGTGCTTTAAAACTTCAAAAGAAATCCTAGGAAGAAAGTGATGTCACAGCCTGGCAGCATAATCATTCACATTCACACTTCACCCTGAGTTAATTGCAGCTTGCTTATTTTGTTTCTTCTAACACAATGAGAAAGTAATGAGTGCCTCATTACACTTTTTAAGACTTTGCTCTTAATTTCTCGACTAAAAGAAAGCTCTCTACCATGCCATCTCATTTTTTTTAAAGCACAACTTCTAGCAAGTCATATTCCAAAAATTATTTCAGAAGAAGGAAATGTCATAAATAATGAGCTATTAGTAAAGGTATTTCCTGGTTTTGTTCATGTTTTAGTGTGGCTATTTGACACATATTTGTAATCCACATAGTACTGGTGAAATAAGAAATTGGTCCTAAAATTGTTACTTGGGGGAAGTAAAGTATCATGGGTAAAGTAATAATTCTAATATTTTTCCATATACTCAATATAGGTGTTAGAATGAAATAATCAATTATTATTTTACTACAGAAGTGATGTGAAAATTCATTATCTTGCTGTAGAATCATGTATTCAGATTTAAAACACTAGTTTAATTTTAAAAAACTCTAAATTTAATATTCTCATGTTTGAAGGTATGTTATATAGTTCATGGCCTCAAGGTTTTCTTCAAAGGTATGTTATAGTTCATGGCCTCAAGTTTTTCTCAATCCATAGTAAATTTCAAGAAAAAAACATGCAATAGCTTGTGGGAGACACATTTAATGTTGTCTCTTCCCAGCTATGAGAAACTGGGTGTTTGGACTTGATCAAACAGCATGGCTCATGAGAAGTCAATATCTATATCTCTATATCCTTCCATCTGTCCATCCACCCATCTGTCTGCTGAAAAGAACCTCACCTCACTAAAGAGTATAAATGCTACCCTTGAAATAATAAATATTTTAAAACATGAAATCAGATAGATTCACTTGGGGACTTTAGGTGACTACTTTTTGAGGAAATAAGTACATATTGAATTGCTTGTTTATTGCATATAATGGATAATTTATTATACTTTCCCAAAGCAACTTGTTAATGAGGCATACTAGTTCATTGATATTTCCTGAGAAAGAGTTCTGTGCCAGGTGAACTTGGGAAACACCAATACCAGAAGATAAATAAATATAAAAAGCTCCCCTTGACTGTAGCAAGTTTCAGGCCCTCGTATGTAAGCATTGTTATAAATCTAGAAATGTATATAATGCAGCATTTTCTAGACTGCAGATTATTTGACTAAGGACTCCTTTATCCTTCTTCTCCAATGTCTTGTGCCATTAGGAGTTCAAGGAATACAACTCTGTAAACATGAGCCTGTGATACAATTTTACAAGTGTTATAAATTATACTTTTTATTCAGGTTTATACACACACAATTTATAGTATAGAGTTTCTTTTGCTTTTAAGTGAAATTGTGGAAGAAATTTCATTATCAAATATTCCATACTTTAAAAAATCTTGGGTGGTGGTGGCAGTAAGTAACTGGTAACACCTTGGTTTTGTCTAAAGAAATTCTTTTGCCTAGGAGATTAGAATATCCAATTTTTCTGAGCTTGTAAAATTTTTTTTTTGACAGTAATGTGAACTGAGTGAATTTTCACACAATTAAAATTTGCCTGTATTTGTGTGCCATTTTAGTCTCATTGCATTGTGGTCTGTGGCTGGGAACATCCTGTTTGCTTTTCAACCTTTTCCTTGTATTTCTATACAGCTTCCTTTAATTGTGTATGTTACGTTAAAAAGAAATGCATGTATATGTACTTACTTTGTATTTTGTATTTACACATACATGCATCTGGTTTGATTCCCATTTTTATGTGCAATATAATCTAACATATTATGAATCTTGTTATTTAAAATATATAAACGAAATCTTATAAATTTAATCAGTGTTTTGGTTCATTTTAGAATCACACACTCTATGGAGTTATTTTTTAAATATAATAATGCTTCTCAGTTCCAAAAGTATGCTCACATACCCCCACTCTTTGTGTGTGTGTGTGTGAACATGTGAGTGTCTCGAGAAAGGCATTTTGAATTAGGGTTTTTAAAGACAAGTAATTTTTGCTTAATTAAATTTGTTGTTTTCCCAGTCTTATATAATGCGCCTGATCCTTATCCCACTTCTTTCTTTTCTCTCCTCATCTCAGTCCCTTTCCCACATCCATGTCTCTGTTTTGTTGATGACCCTCTGAGTTTAATCTGGGTTGTCTGTATGCCCATATGTTTGGAACTATGTATTGGTCTCACCAGTGAGTACACAGCTAAAGACAATGACTCCTTCTCCTCTAGCAACCATCCTCAAACAGAAGTTATTTAGCAGTGAGGTGCTGGTGCCCTTTTGAGTCCTTCGCTCATCCTTGTGTGACTCCAACGTTTGTTTCCTACACGTTTTGCTGTTGTTAGGCTATTACTGTGTTAGACATTTGTGAGGAACTTTGTGCATTCCTTGCAATAACTCTTAGGTATTAACATCTACATTTTCAGTGAGGGAATGGAGATTAAAGAATTTAAATAATTTATTCAGTCATGCATCTAGTAAGTAATTGGTAGAACTCAGATTCAGATTTAGGCCATGGATTGCAAAGAACATATTTTTCACTATGACATACATACACATGTATATATGTATGTGTTCCCTTAATGGAAACTTAATGGAAGTTAGATTAAAATAAGACCGTTAAACAGAAGTGAAATTATTACTCTGCTTTTATTTGTAGCTTCATCATGAAAATAATGAACTCAAAAGATTACTATGAATTTAATAAGTCAGTGATCAATAATTCAAAAATTCTAGTGAAGAGTTACAATAAAATTTATTTGAATTATTATTATATAAAATAAAAAGGAGATAGGGAGTTGTAATTTTTGGTTGCATAGCCCAGGCATCAAAAAGAATTTCTAAACATAACAAGTAGTGATTCTTTTTGAAGTCTAGTCTTCTTATCATAAAGTCTGTAACTTACAAATGAACAAATAGAGATCTTAACCATGGAGCAAGCAGAGCAATAGAATGAACCACTCTTCGGTAAAAGATGGGTTAAAATTAGAATATCTAGTGCTTTGTTAGGTCCACATCCAGTTTTTCAGAATGCTGCGCATTTATTTTACTCTGGTAAAATATAAATTAAATTATATCTTACATTTTAATTATTTAAAAATATACACTTCTGTGATCTATCTCAGATGACAATCATATAACTTGTTCATAGTCCATTAATCTTTTAAAATATTTTTTAAAATGCAACATCTATACTGGATTAAGTTTTGATTCATAAATGAAGATTTTAATTGAAAATTTTCATTGTCAAAGTGTTTGCTTAATTGAAATTTTGATTTGTTTTAGATTGAAATAAGACTTTACAAATTGGCTGGTGATTTCCTCCCAGTTAATAGAAATACATACTTAGAAAATATGAAAACTCTATGACAGCAGTAGTACGGGACTCGGAAGAAGACAACTTTTCCCTTCTCCTGGGACGCTCTTTTAGACAAAAGCAGGAAAGATTATAGTGAACAAGAAGCAGGCTATAGAGCTGAGAGTCACAGATGAACACAAAATACAGGCTGCTGTTGAAGTACAGAGTTACTTCTTTTTCAGTTCCTATACTTTGTCTTGGTGAATAAGAGTAGAGTCTAGTGTTCACCATTCTTAAACCAATAACTTGTTTATGCGGATTAATAGCTCTTGCAAACTAGACAATAGAATTATTTATCTTTTTGTTTTTTGAGACAGGGTTTCTCTGGATTGTTTTGGAGACTGTCCTGGAACTCACTCTGCAGACCAGGCTGGCCTCGAACTCACAGAGGTCTACCTGCCTCTGCCTCCTGAGTGCTGGGATCACAGGCATGCGCACTAACGCCCGGCGGAAGATTTATCTCTTTGCTACTTAAAAACTTAACTTCTGTATGTAAGAGAGTTAGGATTAAAAGAGGGAATGCAAATCATCTCATTCAGTGAAGGTGTCTTGTAAATTGCTCTCGACAGCACGGCTCTAATTCGTTATATAAATTCCTGATGATAACATGGAATTTTAGAATACAGAAGTGATTGATAGTAAGAACAGAGATGTGGCCAGTCACCACAATTACAAGATGACTGCCCCTGCCCCCCATAGATGTCTGCTCGGAGCAGCCAAGTAATTATGTAGGTTAGGGCCAGACCTGGAGCTCGAGTCTTCACTGTGCTGCTTTTGTTGTGCTCCGAATTCTGAGAAACTAGCAGTGGAGGTTTAGTTCTAAGAAATAGAGTAACCATATAAAAGGAGAAGAGTTTGTTTTGATTTAGAGTTTTCTTTTCTTTGATTTTATGAGCCTGCGTGGTGTATATATGTGCATATGTGTGTGTGTGCTGAAATGGAATAACAAGAAAAGCGGGCCAGGGATTGTTTGCACATTACAAATGTTTGCTTTTGATTAGAGTGTTTGAGATAGTGAAAATTCCAAACAAGCTTTGCTTTTTACTTTTCTTTGAAAGGTTTTATTCAGATTGGGCACTTCTGGGTGACTAGATGCATTGTAAACTGAATTTTCTTTTGTATTTGGTAGCATAATCTCTCATTTTTGTAGAG